GGGAATAACAAGAGGAAAAACATCCTATCTCTGGCTGCAAAAACATGCGAGAGGTGTTTGCTCGCATTATTAAACATCATATCTATATCAACAATAAGAAATATTGGATAGCAGAAAGCCAACTTAGACACACACCGAAAACAAACAACTATGTATATCACATCACTGTTTATTGAGCAGCACTTGTAACAAGCAGATAAACAATGTCACGTTCTTTTGGAGACAGACGCATTAATTTGACGATTTACAGTATATTACGTCAATGACACAGACGAAGAGCCAGTCGCGATTATCCAACGAATCTTCAAGGATGGTCGGGCTTGGATGTAATAAATGTACTTTCATCTTGTTATCAACTGAAATCATAAGGAAAAAAGGAAGGAATGCCTACTATCACTCTATGGAGGCGGTCTATCGGAAAGTGATAGATGTCTACTGACAACAACCCTTAACTGCATGCAACCTTGTAAACAACACAGGCATCCAAGACAACTAAGTGCTTGATAAACTGAAAAAAGTAATGACACAAATACATTACATGGAACCGTTAGATAATATTAAAGATTGTCTGGCCATGTTGCCTTGTAGACAAAGGGCATGTTGTACCGAGACTGGTTGGTTGTTGATTGGTTTGTTGTTTAACGCCGCACTCAGCAATATTCCAGCTATATGACGGCGGTCTGTAAATAATCGAGTCTGGACCAAACAATCCAGTGATTAATATCATGAGCATCGATCCACGCAATTGGGATCGATAACATGTCAACCAAGTCAGCGAAACTGACCACTCGATCCCTTTAGTCGCTCTTCACGGCAAGCATGGGTTGCTGAAGACCTATTCTACCCCGGATATTGAACACAGACAGAGAAGGAACCCAGTTCATACACTCTTCGAAAAAGGGAAACGCATAAGAGATCATGAGAATGTTATTTTTTGTTTATTCAAGAAACATTCTATACAAAAGCATTATTTGGATTGTAAGTCACATGTTCGCGATCGTTAACTGGCGTAGTGCCCAAACGCAACCGTTTAAAACTTTATACAACTTTTGTTATGAGACAATAAGTGCGAGTTGTCACTATCGTTTCACTGCAGTGACGTTGACATGAAAAGATCAAACTTCACTCAACATTTTGTCATACGTTTGTCGACTGACATTCGCAAGTTCGCCATTTGAATGTCTTGAAGCTTGAGAGTAAACGTACTCCTTAGCTCCATATCTCTTTCATACCCGCCTCAATTCAACCAAGATCGTCGCGGAAGTAGTAGACCAAGAGTCACCACCTGTGCACCACCAAGATCGCTACATCAGGATCTTTCATCTATGTCATCGGCATGCTACTGCCATCGAGATTACAGGACATGCGGCTGGTTTGAGGAGGTTAACCTGGTCCTGCGAGAGATGAGAATTAGACCCTGAAGACCGGTATGTGTCCCTGAGTTGAGACGTTTGCATCGATGACAACGCATGCGTTAGAGCAGCATTGTACAGGCATCGGCTTTGTGAAACTGAGGCTGGTTCGGTGATAAATCAAAATAGCTTCTCTAACACCGAGATAGAAGACATCGAAATGAACGTTTTGCACCGAATCGGTCGACCTGTTGAAGACATTTCGGTGCAAAACGTTCATTTCGATGTCTTCTATCTCGGTGTTAGAGAAGCTATTTTGATTTATCACCGAAATGCCTTCGACAGGTCGACCGATTCGGTGCTTATGTTAGTGTGGAGAGTCATATCCGACACACGGAGATCTGGCTGAATGGTGGTTCAGGGAATCTGACAGCAAAATTGATACATCAACCAAATTCTTCAACGTCGCCTTCTCCTCTGATTATCAACCGACAGAGGGAGTCATTTCATCGCTACAGGAAACATGGCTCGTTACTGTTGACTTCCTTTATAATTGTCCTGTCCTGCCATGCCATGGCTTTCAAGATCTGAACCCGAAGAGTATTTGTGGGAGGAATTCAACTGGCCAATGTGTTGTAGGAAGAACGGAGGAGAATTCCACAGAATTCCGTAGACTTATTCAGTCTGTGCCAAGGGATTGTAAATCAGTCATAACAGCACACGGGGGTCACACCAAGTACTGATCATAACGCCCCCCTCGTGGACGTACGTGTCTTGTGACAGGACTGTCAGTATGCCATTACTGCCATTATGTCTGCAGATCACGTGACTGTCACCATGCTTAGTTTCATCCTTGTGTCAATCAAATTAAAATGAAATATACCCATTAATTGAACAGGAAAACATTTCAAAGTTAGCCTATACGTTAGCCTATACGCCAAATGTTAGTATTGGAAACAGAATACCTATATCTTGCCAAGCTGTTCAAAATAGGAGTATAACCCTAGATGTTCTTATAATCCAAATGTGCGTTATGTGGAGTTATGCTAAACAAACATAATGCAATATTGTTAAACTTTTGAATACTTATCTCTCACGGTAACAATGGAAATTCAACACTGACTTCATAATGTAGAAATATCTAGCTCTACCATTTTTAGTTCCACTGACAGTTGTGAAAACAAAAGCTAGGCCAGGCCTACCCCCGGCACAATGTCAATAATTAACAAAACTGCAAGTAACATATGTTTCCCTTTCAGCTGATGCTGCTGATGTGATAAATGTTAAAGATTTCTTCCAATGGCAATTTTCATAGAAAGAGAGTCACTATAGACTGAAATCCTGTCAATTGATTTGAAACCAAAAGTGAGTGAGTGAGTGAGCTGTGTTTAACGCTGCTTTTAACAGTATTCCAGTTATATCACGGCGTGTCAGCTTTATGTGGCAGGAAAGCCCAAAGTGACGTTTACCACTTCGGTGAAACCCACGAGCATGGGTATGGTGCTGACAAACCTAGAAACATAATCGGGGCGAACCGGGATTCGAACCCACTATCATAGGTTTCTGGCGTACCTTAGGGACGCAACTCTGCCCAGCAAATCGCGGCGCCTTAGACGACTGTGTCTGTGTGTCTGTGTGACTGATGTCCAAGAGTTGAAGTTTTGAAAGAGATCTAATATCTATACATGACTGGAAATCTTCAGATTGCATGGTACACTTATCAAAAAAGCAAGTGAGAAGATATTCGTGTAGGCAAGATCTAAACTAATTTGATTCCCAGCATTAATGAGTCTAATTGTTAGTCATAGTCATTTACAGAAACATCACATTGGAGGTTTATCCTTGGAATAAAAAAAACACCAACTTGATTTGCAGCAACAGTGTCTCCCCTAGATATATATAAACATTGTGCCAAGCACATTGTAGGCATGTGATTAAGTACTTGAGGGTTTAGATGCTTCTTGTCACAAAAGATCACGGATAAGATGAGAAAAATATGAAAACTTATTTTTGCTTGTTGATGAATTAATTCATGGTGGCTATCCAATGAATCAAAGACAATTTCAATAACACATTCTGTTTAAGCTAAAAATTGTTAAAACTCCTTGGACCACTTGCACAAAGAGATCTTAGCGCTAAGATGATTGTAACTCCCATACTTTAACATAGGCTAACGATAGTCATGATGCTAAGATCTCTTTGTGCAAGAAGGCCTAGGTTTTCTTTTATTGTTAACCTGAAATATCATTTTCATTGTATGTTTCTGAAGAACTTTACTGTTCTATCTCGCTTATCATAAGAGGTACCTTTTTCTTCAAGTGAAACAATTAACATTTTATTTGTGATGTATATTTTTATCTTTGGCACGCTCATAAAGAATTGTCAGGGCTCGGAAATATATTAAAAATAGAAAAATCGATTTTCACCCGAAGTGGACTTTCAACATATGTATTATGTACAAAAGTAAACAGGTAGTATCAAAATACTTTCAACTTAATAACATTGTAGCTAAAATTGTTTACTGTCAAAATGACACTTCATGTGATATAAGAACAAACATCCGTCACAGTAATGTAAAGTTGATAACGTTTCAGATATTTGAAGAAATTGGAATTTAGCAAAATTGCAAATTGAACAATGCACTGTCTAATACATGTTTCGAACTAGAGTTAGATACAGGTCAAGAACAGCGCCTGAGCGTGCTTCATGACATGGATCATTGCTCATGCAACCGGTCACGTACCTGTATTGCCAAGACAAGTTTATTTATATGTCATAATGATATATCAAGCCAACTGTGAAGTTGAACAAAAATCCATTACAACAGTTAGCACAGGCACAAGAAGCGGCAAGAAACGAGGCCAGGCGAGCGAAGGAGGAACAGGACCGTGCAGAAAGGGAAAGGAGAAATGCTGACGAAGCAAGGAAACAAGCATCTGAAAGTGCATCAAGGGCTAAAGTTGCTGAAGAACGAGCACAAAAGGAAAGCCGTAGAGCGAAAGAGGAGAAAGAACTTGCAGAACAAGAAAGGAAGGCTGCTGCTAAAGCAAAGGAAGAAGCAGCTACAAGCACAATAAGAGCTGAACAAGCTGAAGAACAAGCCCAAAAGGAAAGCCGTAGAGCGAAAGAGGAGAAAGAACTTGCAGAACAAGAAAGGAATGCTGCTGCTAAAGCAAAGGGAGAAGCAGCCACAAGCACAAGAAGAGCTGAACAAGCTGAAGAACCAAATCGAAAACCAAAGAGCGAAGGAGGTGCAGACAATTGCGGACAAAGAGAGAGAGAGCAGAAGAGGCAAGAGCGCATGCAGAAAAAGAAGCCCGAATATCAGAGGAGATGAGACAAAAGAAGGAGTCTGCTGAGCAAGAAAAGCAACGTCTTCTGGATGAGAAAGATGAAAAGGAGAGGAGAGATTTAATAGTAAGTGTGATATCATACCTACTTCCTTCTAACAATACCTAAACGACTAGTCAACAAACATACTGAAAAAAAGAGCAGCCTTTAAAAAGATTTGGTTGGTACTTGAGATAAATACAGCTGAAAAACTTGAAGATGTAACTTTACCTGTACACATCTCGGTATTACTTCATGTTGCTGTAACCACTAGGGCCCCCACTTCCCCCGATTGGTTGTTATGAACTTTACTCCACAGTGGTATCTCGGGAACGTTTTGTGACCCATCTGTTACTATTTATCAAACTACAGCCATTCACTATAGTCTTCCAGCATGGTGACACTAGACCCCATTACTGCAAGGCAGCCACTGGACTTCCTCAGTAACATGAACGTTAACGTTTGGCCATGGCCTGTATGTTCGCTGGCCAAGAACCCCATCGACAATTTGTGGGATCATCTTGACAGGCAAGTCAGATGGCGACCAATACGACCAGTAAACCAGCAGGACTTGGAGGACGCCATCAGGCATTCGGAGCGGAGACGTGTTGTAGCCTGAAATGATGAATGAGGCGGACAAATGAGTGATTTCTGACTTTACAGTGACTCACAAGTCTCTAGTCACACATGCGCCTGATCTAAGTTGACCCCCTGTTGTACCATTAATAGTCATAAATGTCTTCTTTTATGGAGTGATACAAAAATATATTTTTTGTTGTTAATGCTGGTGGCTTTGGAAGGTAGAGGTATTCGGGAGACAAGGGAATGAAAGATATCATTAATATCTACTGACTTTTTGGTAGAAAACTGGCCTTGGTTTCGATCATTTCACAATACATCTTGGTTCTACATTTTCAGCAATTTGGATGGGGTCCAAAGAAGACAGAACGAGGAAGATGGACATCACAGGTATCAACAGATAATAATGAGTGTTAGAAACATGATAAATAAAATATATAATAATCTAACTCTTGCACATAATTGAACTCTCCCTGTAACTAATATACATTACGTCATATTTTCCTTTCATCAAACACTCTGCAGGCGGTTGAACATCTTCGCAACCAATTTCTTGAACACATGTATGACAAGGAAGGGAAGCTGATACGTGGGAAGATCTTGATATTTGGTCCTACCTGTGCTGGAAAGTCCTCCTTCTGTAATGGCCTGAGATCAGCACTGAAGGATTCTGCCAACTACTATGCCGTTGGTAATCTTGTCGAGTCACTTACTAGCAACGTAAGTATTTAACCGGGAACAAATCTGGAATAAGCTGAAACTTCATTTCACAAAAACCGGTTGTTAATATCTCAGAAACATATGCATACTAAGAAACCTCCTCTGTCGTCATCTATTGTTTTTCAGGTGACTTATTTTCACACACCGGTCTCTGAAGTTTTTAAAGTAAGGATCCCCAATGTTCATGATATATATTTTAACACACGTCATACTTACCTTCACATTCGCTGTAGATCTGGAAGCTGCTGAATTAGTTCACTAGAAACATTGCATCACTGGAAAGTCATTACCCCATTCTTTAAAATAATAACCTATAATACACCCATAAACGTTTTCTTCAAACATTTCCTGATCCTTGAACTGGAACTCATGCACCACCTTCGTTAATATGTCTTAGCCTACTACCAATTCCTACATGTCAGTGCCAAAACTTATTCTTTGTGATAAAAATGCTTCTGATTTGTCGGTTGACTACAAAGATTCAATAAAACTAATGTTTGTGTTGTACATTTCTTAAAAAAAATTGTTGCACGTTCATTTTTATCAGGAGAAATTTGTGTTGCATGTACATAATTGACTAGGTGCCAATGTCATTCATTGAAATCCCAGTCATCACCTTATGTTTCCCCGTTCACCCAAACCAGTTTATTTTACAGTTCCACTCTACACAATATGGTGACCACTGGATTATTGACATGCCAGGAATATTTGAATCTAATGATTCAAAAACGGAGAATATTGAAGCTATTGTATCCCGCAGGGTTCGCTTTGATGCCCAGGTAAGCACTGCACAGTACTATCATCTTAAAGTTTTAGATATGGACAAAATAGAAATTGAAATATACATTTGTTAAATCATCATTCATGACCTACTGATTCATTTTTTTGTTTCAAGATTACAAAACGTCTTGATGTGACAGGCAACCTGCAAGAGGCACGAAGGGACGTGTCATGTGTTGTGCTGGTTCTCCACCATGGCATCACTGTGGGTGATGAATTGAAACGTCAGATAGATGCTGTCATACGATTGGGGGGAGATGGCGGTAAGTTAAAACATTGGCACACCCTCAGGTCCTGAAACTAGTAAAACTGCCATGTGTATTTTTGTGCCATTTTGAAACTGTGTGAATTAATTGAACTTAACAAAACTTTCAACGTATTTTTCTCAGTGACTGCTGCTGCTGCTCCTGCTGCAATATTGCCAAACCGCAGGATTTGAATACTTCCAAAATACAACTGAAGAAAGCTCATGGCATATGAATAGGTCATTTAGAGTCTCAGCATCTTGAGTTGATGGTATAATTTCCATATCATAAGCAGGCCTCCATGAATCACCATTAAATTGTGAAGAGACCAGGTGTTCTCGAAAAGGTGAGCGTGCCTTGGCCTACCAGTGGCACCCATCAGACACACATGCAATGGCAAGTCGCAGCTCTGTAGTGTCTTCATGTTTTGGAATACACACTCTTGGATGAATATCTCTATCATACAGTGTGGTGGAAAGTGTTTTGTTAAGCGGATTCTTTATGCATAAATCGGAATATGAGACAAGCGAGGCGGTCTCTCTGATCTCCTTTATTTCCACTTCAGGTTATTTAATGTTATCAGATGATAGATAACAATCTCCAACTGTATACAAAGAAGAAGAATGTAATACCTGATATACATAACAGTTCCCAAAAATATGAATATAGAGGACAATATCCAGGATAATCACTTCTGAAATGACTTGTTTCTTTCATAAAACAGAATCCATGTATAGAAATGAGGCTATATATCAGGCCAAGGTCACTCCTTTCGAAATGTGTAACCATAAACGATAAGTGGGATATGCTTTAGGATGTGTGTTTTACGATCGCTATACAATAGTGACTTCAGTTATTTCACCTGTACTGATTTAATGTATCTTGTTTCAGCTCTGTCCTACCACCTGGTGCTGACTCACCTGGATGAGTGTGACCCACAGTTCAAGGACCCAGATAACATCCCCAACCTGTACAATTCTCCTCTAGTACAGGAATCTGTGAAGAACGTGTCAGAAGATACTGGCATTCCACCATACGCCATCAGTTACGTGAAGAAGTATGTGACAGAAACAGAAACAGACACCAACACTAAGGTGCTTCACCTGGGAGCTCTTGACAGAATCCTCACCTCTGCAGCTGACCAAGTGGAGAAGATGATTGATTTAAAACTGCAGAAGAAGATGTATGAGGATGCCCCTGATACTGAGGAGACACAGGCTGTATCTGAAGATAATGCTGAGCCGCTACAAGATGAATCAGTCAGCTGGGACATCCCAGTGTTGATATCATCTGGGATATTTAGAATTGCATCAGTCTGAGGCATCATTTGAATACAATTATTAAGGAGTGCAGAAACATGCGATGTCTCATGTCTATATATTTGTCCTGTCTAATGCATGCTCATAAAGCAAATTTATAATGATAGATTTTGCAATTACCGTCGTGTACATTAGAAAAGTTTATTGGTTTGAAGCCTGTGTTTGAGAACATCTTCATCATATACTTATGATAGCATCGACAATTCCTTAAAGGCAAAACATTTAATACATTAGACAAGTCGAATTCCACTCCAGAAATTTCCAGAAAAAAGTTCGTCCTTAATTTCGCCAGTTGGAATATGTTGCATTCGTGTTCGGCTCCACAGGAGCCACGAGTTTCATTAAATGCGAATATGTATTAATAATAATTTATTCTGATTATCTTATGAAGTAGCGGGACGTTTTTGAAATATTATCGTTTCTTAAACACTTTCCATCAAAGCGGAAAACAAATGATAAAACAAAAATTGGTGGTGGAGTAAAAGCGCTAGCTCCAAACGCTGAAGACCTGGGTTCGATTCCAAAATATAGGTACAATGTGTGAAGCCTATTTCTGGTGTCCCCGCCGTGATATTTCTGATATTGTGAAAGACCCGAAGATAATTTTTTACATTTTGTATGCTATTTGAGCAGTATCTTTCCTATTGAACAATGGAATACATAATTTACCATAAATGTGTCAAAAAAACATGAACCATGCTCCTCTATTGTGCCTGCTAACGACTCTGTACTCTTGTGATGGGGTTATATGTTGTGGCGGGAAGCTCTGGACGAACTGGTCTTTTATTACTTTTCATAAGTGACGCACGTTGTAGACAAATTTGCAGGGCTTATTTCATCTGTAAATTCAGTCTTACAGGTTTTCGTCAACATTTGATTCATTATGGTAAATATATGTTTAGTGTCAAGTGTTAAACATGTTTTTATTCAGTCACCTGGAATATAACATATTCCAGGACTCACTTGGCTTCTCTACTGATCTTTAAATTTGTCCAGACACAATAGGTAAAATGACTTTATGAAAAACATCTCTTATTTAGGATTGCCTATCAAACAATATGAAAAAATGTGTTAACGTAAAATTCTCGACTTCTCAAAACGAACTGACATCAATAATGACGTGAAAACCCACTTTTGCCACTATATAGTGCTGTGCACATGATTTTGACGTGGCCATTTCTGTTTAAATACACAATAAGGGCCGACAATGATAACTGATCAAAATGTTAAAGGTTTCTTAAAAAGGTTTTTACACATGCTTTATATTCACTATTAATGAATACTTAGGTATATATGTTACACACTCAACAGTAACACTTCGTTATATAGCTTGAATTTGCAATCTAAAACGGACCATCAAAAGCATTTGGCGATTACTTAAGATAATGAGGTAGCCAGTCACGTGATTTGTGTGACGTCATACCGGACAGTTGTAGCATCAAAACACACAAGTTGCGCAACGGTGCCGCGCCGAATCGCTCTCGGAAATCTTCTTTTATCTTCACCAATAATTCGACCCACAAGGTCAAAACTGGATTTGGAAGGTCTACCCCATACAGATACTGACATAGAAGTACAACCTTTTCAATTTGAACAAATTTCTGGCAGCAAGAACGACCAGAATACTGACGACGATTCCAGCAGTTCACAAGAAAACAGTGACGATCCCGATCTCGACGATGTTTTGAATAGGCCTCACACAGACTGGTATGCTAGTAATTAGCGTGCCATATATTCAGGAAAACAGATTAAATATGGAATAAATCTTTCAGCTGTCACGGTAAAATGTGTAGTCACAATTACCGCAATGTTAGACCAATAATAATATGCGAAGCCACGCCTATATATGTGACAGTAAATGCTCAAATCGCGAGTTACAAGTAAATCGTTTCAATATAATTTGTCAGACTTTTCACCTTAATTATTAAATGTGTTATAAAACTTCTTCTGACTAAATATACCCAACAGAAGGATCGAATATGAGGATCAACCTTTCTGTGAAATACCATTACGTATGTAACAATACACGTACACTAGCACAGTACCCTAAATTCGTAAGTGTAACATTATCAGTGTTGCCGGTGCATCGAAGTTCAATTTTATAACACATTCAATCTCCATAGACGTCCCATTTTTGAAAATGTATATTCCACAATAACTATCACAACAGCTTACCAATAGCTAGACGTCTGTTTGGAGATTGTTGTACTTTCCCTCTTCTATGGAAGTAAAGAAAACATGCCTCAGTCTTTGTTAAGTTAAAGAGATAACAGATATATTTGAGCATAACACTATCATTAATACAGTTTTAAAACACGGGCTAGAGGCCACCAGTAACCAACACTAGACCATCTCGCTGGGGATCATGGGGACTTACAGTGCCTCTGCTTCCTGCATGATACCCAGCAGTATTTAAGTCATCACTTTAGCCACAGGGGGTTGAGCACAATGCCAGCCAATATTAAGAAAAACCCCGGAATTGAGTTGGCTTAAAAAAACTGGTTGATGATAGTTAAATCGATTATGATTATATTTCGTGTCACACAGGGGGAGAATAATTTTATGATACTTTAACCCCCTGGACAGAGCCTTCAATAATGTCAGTTGATAATAACATCACACCAAATTTAAAAACAAGCATCTAATTATTTGCATTCATATTTAAAATCTATTTTACAGACCAATTTGGATTAGTTTCTGACTTTTTTAGATGGGTTTGAGTGAGGTATACTTCAGGCTTCGCCATCTGCCAGGGAAAAGGATAAGGTGATATGTTATCAAGATTAATTTTAGCTGCAGTGATGTGTGGTTGAATTCTGTTTCCAAGTGGTGGAATCAAGTTTGCACAAATGTTTAAACAGGTTTTCATATTGAGGGTGGAAAACACAATCACATGCTGGATTTGATTTACTTGAGTACAGTTTAGTAACGTAAAGCAGTGAAAGTTTGATGCGGCGCTGTTCGAGTATAGGTGCATCAGCTCCCACATACAAACTGTCCACGTGAGAAGTCCTAAAAGCTTGAAGACAGAGCCTAAGCCTTGATGGCTTTATAGTGTCCAATTTTTCTAAATTGCTTTTGAAGGCTCCACCATAGACAATGAAACCATAGTGTAGTTTTAGCTTATTAACGATCTGTAATGTGAAACAACTATTAACAAGTAGAGATCCTTCAGGCACTTTGCCTTAATATATATTTGATGTGTGGTAACAATGTCAGATGACGGTCAAATATGAGGCTTAGGAATTTGGCCCCTTCTACTACTTTGATAGGAGTACCATCTAAATATAAATCTGGATCCCTGTGAGGTATATATTTACGACAATAGTGGATACAGTTTGTTTTAGATTTAAAAAACAAATTTGAAGCCGTTTTCGTTCGCAAATTTTTGAATTTTGTTAAGACAGAGCTGTAGCTTCTCTCTATTGTATTCTTACCACGACAAGAAATGTTGAAATCATCCAGTAAAAGTGAACCATCAACGCTATTGTTTAATACTTTAGACTATTGATTTCGAGGCTGAAAAGTGTGACTAATAATATATTGCCTTGAGGGAAATGATCTGACAGGGTAGAGCCCACTCGTACTTGAAATTATCTGTTGTTTAATAATTGAGATATGAACTGAGGTAATCTGCCCTGCAACTCTGTTAAAATACAATATTTCCACGTTACATATCACATGCCTTCTCTAGATCTAAAAATATTGATGCAGTGTGCGTTTGTAGACAATGGAATTTTAAATAAATGATTCTAAACGCACCAAATGGTCCATGCTTTTTCTGTTTTTTCGGAAACGACACTGGATGTCACTGAATAGGTTATCGGTCTCAAGTACCAGACTAATCAATTGTTAACAATGTGCTCCATGGTTTTACAAACTTAGCTAGATAATCATATTGTAGGTAATTGGATGAATCTGTATTATCCTGTCCAGGCTTTGAAATAGGAATAATAATAGCATTGTGCCACGAAGGAGGAACATTTCTGGTTGTCCATATCTCATGAAATATATTAAGTAACGTTTCCAAACGTGAATCGGGCAAGTGTTTCAGGAGCACATAGAGGATGTTGTCGGCTCCTGCTGCAGTGTCATGAGGCAGTATATAATTCATGGAGTGAAAATGTTTCATTGTAGTCCTCACCATTATCAGAGTTAAAAATAACTTTTTGTCTTTTCCTGCTTTTTTTGAAAACTCTGAAATTGAGGATAATAGTTTGATGATGACGAATGGTTTGCCGAAGTGTCACCAAGTATTTTGGCAATTTCGGATTTAGTAGTTAAAAGTGTATTACCATCTCTAAGATGGTGAGGTGAAATGGGGTTTAACCTCCAAGGTTATTGCACTTATATAGTGACGTGCATGCCCATGTGTGTGTTGCTGCTTGTACCAGTCCGGACTGATGCTGATGCTGATTTATAGTGCTATCTCACTAAGATACCATGCCGCAGTTTATCTTGAATACCAAACTCAAACACAGAATACTGACTCTGACCCGACCAGTCCTTGTTTTAGACCCTTAATGCCGGGCGCCAGACAGGATAACAACAAGTACAATTTGTTAACATCTTTTGGTATGATGCGACCTGTTCACTAATCTTCCAGTGTCTGCCCCAGTTCAGATATATCACTGCACTGAAGCTCGATGTGTGAATAAAGCCCAAAATAATGCAGGTCTTAATGTTTATTACTCAGGTAAAACACACAACCATGGGTATGGTCCATCGTCATTGTATTCTCCGAGACGTGACTGGTGAACATGGTTTACAACAAATAATCATGCAGATAAACATCTAGCAAAAGTTGATCAGTTCTAGGCGTAAAGGAGATCATAATAGTTTGAGTGCGATTTGCACACCTTACTCGTGTTTGAATAGCAGACTATCAATGAAAACAACATTCCTGAAAGCCTAACAACTGCACCAGACACCATCCACTTATTCTTTTATGATCAAAGTGAAAAGTTCAATGCACAGCTGTGGAAAATGCATGTCCCTTTTGTTATCAACAATGAATATATTTTACCAATGCTGA